TGACTTTCTGCAGCGGCGAGTTTGCCGTCTTTTGCTTGCGTGCTACGCGGGGTCGCTAGGCTCTGATGTATAAAATGGTGCCTGCGGAAGGTCCCTGGGCACGTAGGCATGCATCCTCAAGGTCTGTTTATGTAATGTTTAATTCAGTTTTAACTTCCTCTGAGTATTTGTATCTCGTAGGAGACGAATTAAAAGAGTTAAGAAAATGCTTAAACGTGCTTAAGGATTATTTTTACTTTTGGGCAGAGTAAGAGAAATGGACGGGTTATTTGTACAGTAAGCTTTTGGCAGAATCCTGCCAAGTGTTTCCCCGTGGAAGCATCAGAGTACCTGCTGCATCTGGTGTCCTTCTCTTTTGCAGTGAGCTGAAGAGACGTTTAAAGGCTGAGCGAAAAATAGCTGAAAAAGAGGCAAAGCAGAAGGAGCAAAGTGAAAAGCTTTCAAATAAGCCTTCCTTGGCTTCAGACTCTGAGAATAACGTTGCTGCTGATGAGGAAAGCTTGGATCCAAATGTGAGCGTCTGGCTTCATGCTTATTAGTGTTCTGAGAATAAGGGTTACTGATTTGCATTTGATTTTTTATTCAAGGGGAACCAAATGGTTAAAAGGGGGGGCATCTATGTATTCCTGCACAAGGGCAGCTGTGTTTTAATTTTCAACCTGTAAAGTATTTTCAGTTTCTAACAAAATTGTTTGGGTTTGTTTGTTTCTGGTGACAGCAATACTACAAGATCCGTAGCCATGCAGTCCAGCAGCTGAAGGGCACCAATGAGGACCCCTATCCCCACAAGTTCCACGTAGACTTATCTCTCTCAGATTTTATAGAGAAGTACAGTCACCTGCAGCCAGGAGATCACCTGACAGATGTTACAGTGAGAGTGGCAGGTAAAGGCTTATCTGGGGTACAGAAAGGTGGTCTATTGCTTTGCTAAGCCTAGTCTTAGCTGCTTTTAGTGATGGAGTGGGCTCTTTTTGAATTTCGCCAGTCCCCCGTTACTCGGTTATGAAGTCTGTAGCAGTGTTAGACTATTCAGGACTCACGTTTTCAGACTGAGTGGACCCGTGCAGCGTCCCTTAGAACTACGAGACCAGATTGTGGCATGGGCTCCAGGACCCAAAATCCGTACGGCCTTTTGTGCGCTGATATTCATCTTGAGACTTAATTGCTTCTCTTTCATGGTCGGTGATCGGTTCAGAGCTGACGATCCTTTATGCAAATCACTGTAGTGTGGCTTTTGCACCTGTATCCTTTCTGCTAGGGACTCTTTTCCTAATGTCCTGCATGCTTTCATATTTAGGTCGAATCCATGCAAAGCGTGCCTCTGGAGGGAAGCTGATTTTCTATGATCTTCGTGGTGAAGGAGTGAAGTTGCAGGTCATGGCAAATTCCATGTAAGTAGAGGTATTCCCAGTAGCAGTCTAAACTGAACTGCATTCTGGGGCCTAGTTTGGAATGTTGAATTTTAAACAAAACTGCTTACATTGGTTTTGTAATTACAGGCTCTACAAATCCGAGGAAGAGTATTTCCGTGTTAACAACAAGCTGCGTCGCGGGGACATTATTGGTGTAGAGGGGAATCCTGGGAAAACAAAGAAAGGGGAACTGAGTATTATTCCTTATGAAATAACTCTGTTGTCTCCCTGCCTGCACATGTTGCCTCATCTTCACTTTGGCCTCAAAGATAAGGTACTTGTCATACCTTGGAGGCAATTTGACAGATAGGTCTGAGTGGATGACCTTTTACATCTGCTGATGGTATCAGTCAACAAAGGAACATTGGTTTTGTTGTGGTATTTTTTCCTTCGGCAGTACGTTTTGTCTAGCTTATTCTAAAGATACTTTTTCTTTTCAGGAAACTAGGTATCGTCAGAGATACTTGGATTTAATTCTTAATGATTACGTGAGGCAGAAATTTATAACCCGTGCAAAGATCATTACATACATTCGGAGCTTTCTGGATGAGCTGGGCTTCCTTGAGGTAAGGCCTCTGTGTTTATTTCTCTCCGCACACTGAATGTGTTTAGAGCTTCAAGAATACTTTATATTCAGGCTCATACACAAAATATTTACAGAAGTGAGAATAACTACCGTGGCATGGTGTGTTTGATCAGTTTAATGTAATGAGAGCCATTCCTTTCCTGTCTTTTAAAGTTAAGACTGTTCCTCAGTTGGTGAGGTTATGACTCAGGGAAACTTTTATCAAGGTAGTACTTTGAACTACTGCTGTCCTTTCCTCATTCCAGTAAACTAAGGTGGAAATAACATCTTTGAAATGGTGTTTTGCCTCTGGAGGTAAATGCGGATTTTACTTCCTGTAAGTAAAATTGGTTTTATCTTGAGATCTATTGCGGAGTAGCATATGAGAAAATAATACTCGGTCTGCTTTCTGTTGCATCCAGATTCTTGGTTGTACTTTACAGTCAGCAAAAAGATTAGAACTTAATATAGTCTCTTTGCAAGTGTTTATCAACTGAATCTGCAAAAGCTGCCAGTGGGAGTTTTTTGAGAGCAGTGGGAATCTGAACCTGTGCTGTGTCATCTCTGTCATATGTGTAACGCTTTTAATGTCTGTCTTTGCTTTGGTTTTGGTTTTTTTTTTTTTTTTTTCTCCAAATAATTCTTAATCTAGTACTTACAGATTTTACTGTTCTTTTAATTTAATCGAAAAGGGCCATAAGAGTTCTTAATTGATAAGAAGTTTTGATTTGTTGGAATAATAGAGTAAGATACTTAGGCTTGGCCAGAACGTTGGGCATAAAATAAAAGGTAGAGAAGTGAGGGAATGGCTGACTATACAGTAGAGTGCAATCTGGAGGTACGTGAATTGGGCAGTGCTCAGTCATGCCAGTACTCCATCTGGCACAGTGTAGTGTCATGCCATGGACAGGTACTAGTTGATTTTGAGAAAAATTAGCCAAACTGTCATGGGTATTGTATCGTGCTCTTCAGCCGATTGTCAGGGCTTGTTAGTTCAATCGTCATCAAATGACCTGTACTTCTGATTCCAGTACTGTTTGGGATGCTGACTGCTTTCTGTTTCCTGCAGCTCAGCTTGTTTCATAGATCTGTTTGGAGAATGCCATTAAATACTTGTTAAGGGAGCTATATTAATTCACAGCCTACAAAGTTTCTCCTCTTTTTTTTAAGTTCTAGCTGCATCCTTGTTCTCATTTTATCACACACTGACTTCCCTTTTTTTTTGCCCTGACCTTTGTTCTTTCACAGGAGCCCAGAGTCTTTCTATTTCATAGAAGTGTTCCCCTTCTGTATGGCTATAAGTAGTTCTGTTGTGAAAATACCTGTTGTCATGTTTCTGGGTCAGTAACAGGGCATTAATTCTTGATGCTAAGATCATAGAATCATTTGATTGGAAAAGACCTTTAAGATCATCGTGCCCAACCGTACGTATCCACTTGTAAACCATGTCTGTAAGCACTTCGTCTGATTGTTTTTTCAATACTTCCAGGAATGGTGACTCAACCACTCCCCCGTTCCAGTGCCTGATAACCTTTTCAGTGAGGAAATTTTTCATCATATCTAATCTAAACCTCCCCTGGCACAACTTGAGGCCATTTCCTCTTGTCCTATCGCTTGTTACTTGGGAGCAGAGAAAATTGTCCGATTCCACCAGCTCTCTGTATAGGGGGCCAAGTTTTGAGTTGTAAATCATTTGGCTACTCCGTTTTTTTCCATCGTTTGCAGCTACTTTCTCTTTTCAATGTGAAGAGACATTGAACTTAAGTCTGTCTTTTACCTAGACGATAGTGTGTATTGCTTGAAGCATAAGTGGTCACCTTTCAAACATCTAAAAAAATGCAGCTTCTGCAAAAGAAAATTTGTAATGATTTGAACTAAATCAATTCACTGAAGCTTGCAGCGGATTGATTTAATTCTTTTTTTTTTCTCCTTGAACTTGTGTATCTCTTCAGAAATTAGTTCAGTTGGACTCCAGGATTCCCCATACATACATAAGATCAGTAACGGCTTTTTATCTAAAGTGAATGTTTCCATGTATGCATATATTCCCAGCCATTCTCACCACCAAATATTTTTGAATTGATTTTTTTTCCCCCAAAAAGCGATACTACTAAAATTGTTCAGGTTTTGCAAAATTTGCAGAAGCCATGGCATTTAATGTCTTTCAGGATTACTGTTTTACAGCTTCGCCACAGAGACCATCCTAAAGAATTTATAGTGTAAGCAATGATTTGGAGAAGATACTGAGGAAGACTGCTACTTCACATAAGTTTTATGAAAGAGCTTGCTTTCTCTTACCAAGTGGATTTTATCATAGAACCACAGAATGGTTTGGGTTGGAAGGGATCTTTAAAGATCATCGAGTCCACCCCCCCTGCCAAGGGCAGGGCCGTCTGCTACTAGGCCAGGCTGCTCAAAGCCCCCTCCAACCTGACCTTGAACGGTTCCAGGGATGGGGCACCCACAACTTCTCTGGGCAACCCGTTCCAGTGTTTCACCACCCTCATGGTAAAACACTTCTTCCTTACGCCCAGTCTAAATCTCCCCTCTTTCACTTTAAAACCGTTGCCCCTTGTCCTGTCACTACAGGCCTTGGTAAAAAGTCTCTCTGCACCTTTCTTACAAGCACCCTTTATAGGCTGAAAGGCCACAAGGAGGTCTCCCCGCAGCCTTCTCTTCTCCAGGCTGAGCTACCCCAACTCTCTCAGCCTTTCCTCATAGGAGAGGTGCTCCAGCCCTTGGACCGTTTCCGTGGCCTCCTCTGGACCCGATCCAACAGGTCCACCTCTTTCTTGTACTGGGGACCCCAGAGCTGGACACCGTTCTCCAGGTGGGGCCTCATGAGAGTGGAGGAGAGGGGGAGAATCCCCCCCCTCCACCCTCTGGCCATGCTGCTTCTGATGCAGCCCAGGATACAGTTGGCTTTCTGGGTTGCAATCGCACATTGCCAGCTCATGTCCAATTTTTCACGCACCGGTGTCCCCAAGTGCTACTCCGCAGGGCTGCCTCAATCCATTCATCCTCCAGGTTGTACTGAGATTGGGAGTCGCCCTGACCCAGGTGCAGGAGCTTGCACTTGGCCTTGTTGAACCTCATTTTCTGCAGCGTAGAGAGACGATTTTGTGACTATGCCACAGCCCAGTTCCTGGCTCTGATAACTTGAACCCAGCAGGTTCACATTTATAGTAAATACGATTCTTGATAGCAACAAGTAGTTTAAGTAATTTGTCTTTACTGACTGCATGGGAGAAGTGCTCTTTAGTTCAGTTGTTTTCATGTACTGGAATGCCAAACAACAAAACAAATACAGAGATTTTTTTATCCAAGCTATCTGTGGTTTGTTTGTTTGCTTGATCTACAGAGATCTTTTCTGGAAACAGATTACACAAAAACAGGGCATTGAGGTAGGAGACTGGAAATATTTATGCTGCTGTTAAATTAGGTTTTTTTTTTTTGTTGTTACTGTTTTACAGATTGAAACTCCTATGATGAATATAATTCCAGGTGGAGCTGTGGCAAAACCTTTTATCACGTACCACAATGAACTGGATATGAATTTGTATATGAGAATTGCTCCAGAGCTTTACCATAAGGTAAAATGCAATCCCCTCATGGCTAAGCCTGTATTCTGCAGACTGTTGTGGTATTATTCTAAAAAAGTAAATGTAGCTAAGCCAAGGATTATTCTTGAAAAAAGGTAGACTCATTGTATGGAAGGAAACAAAAGGTATCTGGAATGAGATTTGTAAGGTCACGTAGCATTGTGTGTGTTTGAGTTCTCTGTAGTTCTTTTGAAAAAGTTAGTGTGTTTACTAGAATTCCCTTCTGTTTAGATGGTCGTGGTTGGAGGCATAGACAGAGTATATGAAATTGGGCGTCAGTTCCGGAATGAAGGAATTGATTTGACTCACAACCCTGAGTTCACAACTTGTGAGTTCTATATGGCTTATGCAGACTACCATGACTTGATGGAAATTACAGAGAAGTTGCTGTCAGGTGACGTATGCAATATTAATTAAAATATAGTAAGAATCTCTGAAAGAATTGCGTATTATGTGGCATGCTTTTCTTCTAAATTTCATATTCCTTTTATAGGGATGGTAAAACATATTACTGGAAGTTACAAGATCACTTACCATCCAGATGGTCAAGATGGACAGGCCTATGAGATAGATTTTACCCCTCCCTTCCGGCGAATTAGCATGGTGTATGATCTGGAGAAAGTCCTGGGAGTGAAATTTCCACCACCTGAGTGTTTTGAAACGGAAGGTTAGATGCTGAGTGTGAATGTCCTATAATTCTTCCTTAACAGAAAGAGGGCAAAAGGTCTCAAGTTCTCAGCCTGCAGTCTGTCAGCTGCTCTTTTGAGGTGGTACTAACACACGGGATTGCTTTTCTCTGCTTTTGTCTGTTACCTACAAGTCCAGAAAGAAGCCTTCATGCCTTGCCCTGCCTTTGGCAGGATCTGACTCTTTTGCCTCCTTGTTGAGTATGTGTGATGCTGTATACTCAAGAGGCATGGTCTGAGGAGTTCTTGATCTGTTGAAGAGACGCAACTTTTTATTTCTTCTGTCTTTGGTGCAGTTGAGTCTCCATGCCTGTGATCGTAGGTTAGAAATATAATTATTTTGGGCTGTCTTCAAAATGTGCCTATTTGCTGTTTTATTTCTGGAATCCAAAGCCCTAAGGAAATGAGTTTGTATACTTCTTAGTGATTTTTTCCCCCCCATTTTTTTTTTTTTCCCAAATAATAATGTCCAGCAGTCACATGGGATGTGTTAACTGTTGACAAGTTTCTGAAATACAAAATATCTGATATTTTAGCATAAACTGATTAAAAACAAACACTATTTTTGTAGATTGACATTTAAGTCCATGTTCTCCATGATGTATACCATTAAGATCTTACTAATCAGTCTAAGACATGTTGAAGGATGCAGAAAGAAAAAACGTGGTTGCCTGGGTGGCTTTTCTAAAATTTGTCTACAACGATTTCAGAAACTCGCAAGTTCTTTGATGACCTTTGTACAGAGAGGAATATTGAGTGTCCACCTCCCAGGACAACAGCCAGGCTTCTTGACAAAGTAAGTACAGGTGGTGGTTTTATAATCCTAAGGTCTTTGAAGATCTGTCTGTATAAACAGAAGTCTCTTCAGCTCGTTTTCTCACTGTGCTCTGCATCAAAACCTTTTTTTTTTCATTGTCCACACTAAAATGTAGTTTACTGATGCCTGCCTGCCTAATGTGAGTGCTGGAGGATTTTAGTTTGCTAACCAGCCTCTTGTGCTTAGAGCCGATCGGCTTTATCTTACGTCAGTTTTGTCTGTGAGATCCGTGCGTTTGTATGTACCTTACCAAACTGGTAGGCTTACCATGTAGTTCTGCTATCATCAACTGTGTTAAGCCTTTTCCTTTGTACCCAAAAATACTGCCTGACAGCTGTTTTTCTGCTGCTTTTCCTCTTGGCCTTTGTTGTAACATCCAAATTGCATGATGTTATTATTTTCTATACGTTCTCTGCTATGTCCTTTTTCTTACCCAGCTAGGACACGCGCTCTCTGTAAATGAAGACATTACCATGGTCAGGAATTATAAGTTGGGAAACTTTTCAGTTTTCTGGTACCTTCTTCAGTAGTGAAGAGAGGGAAATAGGGTGTTTGGGGAAGGGTGGTGCGAGGAAAGTGATCTTGTACTCTGCATAATTGTTTTGCTTTTGTTTTCCCAGTTAGTTGGTGAATTCCTGGAAGTCACTTGTATCAGCCCTACATTCATCTGCGATCACCCACAGGTCATGAGTCCTCTGGCCAAATGGTAAGAGTATGAGACGCAGTCGGTGTGTAACTCTTTCTATTCCTGCTTTATTAAAAAGGAAAAAAAAAAAAAAAAAAAAAAAACAA